TGAACCAGTGCCACTGGTTCATTAGTCAGATAAACAGCCCTACCAGCTTCCATACCTCAGTGTGATAAAGGCTCCTCATGCACTTGTCTTGTGTTCCTGAGGTACTGAATTCTCACCTCCTTCTATCTTGGTTGTGTTTACAGTGGGACTGCTGTATTTTCTCAAGTCTTATAGTATCTGCCATTTTCAGAACAATTAATTCAGAAGAGCTTATTACAAGACATTGTATCACCATTCAGGTTAAACTTTTTTGATCCCCACTACTCTCATGTTAGCACACAATGAAATAAGAAGGATATTTCTCTCTCACTACCAGCAAAAGTACATTTTTCACTCTTTCAGGAAAGCAGGATTCCCTTTCAATATTGGAGGGAGAAAAACTGTCACATCTTTCTCATGCCACCTTTTGGAAGGGATGGGTTTGAAACAAACAGGCAGAAACAGATAAGAGCTCTCTTATCAAAGTATGAGACTAACTTCAAAACATGTCTTGAAGTTCAGGGAAGCCTGTGTTGCAAGAACATGACATAAATCTGCATAATGGAAGGAACATACAGAAAGCTAACTCTGGATTTACTGCTGTGTCAACAGCAGGAAGTGAGCAAATGCACTCCTTTAATTCTGGCTACCAAATCAGGAACAAGTCACTAAGAAATACCCACACCTAAGCATTCACATGGGTGGCTTTTATTGCTGCACCTGCGAAATTTGTTTCCTTCTTGTGCAGGGTATCTACACAAAGTAGGTCAGATGACAGAGCAAAATACAGCAGACACATGCAGGAAACGTAGTAGTCCATATACACCATTGCCTATTTTATTCTAGAAACATAAATAACTGTTTTGTTATAAAATGGAAAGGGGAAGAAGTTTGTATTATCAACTGGGCAAGGTTCTACATGGCATAAATCCATGGCTTCAAATACCAAGGGACTTCAAATGCTCACTGAGGTGCACTTCAAGTCTTTTTCTGGATTGCTTAAAAAGATAAAAATTAAGTCTGATACACTGGCAATCTTTAAAAATGGAAAAAGAATGATGGATTATGACTGAAGTGGCATGACCCTAAACAACTCATGTAAGGTCACGCACTTCAGCAGTAAACTGGGGTTAACCACACCTAGCTCCCGGATGTATTGAAAAACTTGGCATTTGGGAAGCACTTGTGCAACCTCAGGTGACAGCCACTGATGAACACTCAGACTACATGTTGTACAGCGGCATTCCTCAGCCCCATTACTTCTCCAGAGGAGAGCTTTAGGGAAGGCCCACTTAGCATTCAAAGTGCTACCTGGACTGCTGGCAAAGACAACCCCCTCCCTCCACTTTTCCCAGTAAATCAATACAAAACAAAGAACAAATCCGAAACTGTACATAGCTAGCTTTTGAATGAATAACAATATTATTTCTGCACACACACAAAAAACAGTACTTAAAGTCTCTCCAAAGATTTCAGGTAGATAATTTGAAGATTGCATATCATTCACTTCAGCTATTACTATTCAAAACAAGCATCTAATCACATGGTAACTCAGCATCTTGACTTGACAGTACACTGCTTCACAAGCTTCCATAGGGGACAAACATCAAATAAATGAGCGTCTGGTATCACTGGAGAATTCCCAGTTTCATTTACCCAAACATCCACAAAGCAGTCAGCTCCCTAATTAGTTAGTGGAGAGGGAGGGGAAGCAGAGTTGCAAACATTCTTGTCACCCACCTAATAACCACAGGAGAGCATTGTAATTACACTCCAGTGACACCAGGATCAAGTTTTACCTAAGCCCAGACCTCTGCACACTCTCATGCATAAGTAGTCACTTCTGTAAGAAGCATTAGTAGATTAATACACAAGTAACTAGGAATAGGATATTCTTCCATTCAAAACTATCAGTGGCTCTTCCACAATGACAACATTAAAAAAAAAAAAAGTTTTATTTTACCTGTGACTAAGACTAATACGTGTGTGTACACATATCACATGTACACTTTTTTTTTTCTTTTATGGAAAATAAGATGATAGTATCAAGATATTTGTCAGCTTTCATCTGGTATCTTTAAAGTTCTCTTTTTAGAAGGCTAAAGCTGATGACTTGCAAATAAATAAAAGAAAACTACCAGTGGTTAAAATTTTAACCACATGCTGTTTGCCCCCCCAACTGAAACACTGCCTAGCAACTGAACAGAACCTGAATCTTTTACTTGATTCTTCTGATGATCTAAGGGTGCCCTATACAAAGCTCACATTTACTAAATTTCTTAATCAAAGTATAAGCTTTTAGTTTCTCACTCCTATAAGAGCTGGTATATTAATCTTCTGTCAGATAAGTGCTTATAGTGAAAATACCACAAGACACATAGGTTTTACTTTTACTTTTAAATATTAAACATAATATCTGAAATCCCATCAAGGCATTAAATATAAATTATCAGTCCTAGTATAATTCAAAGAAGCTTCATAGATCAATGAATTCTCTTACCTTCATAAGGCTTTCCCAGCTCAAACAGAGATGTTGCCCAGCAGCGGATCCACAGAGCTGGGAAAAAGAACCACTCACAACTCAGTATCAACTTGGGGCTTACATGGAGAGTGGTGGGCTAACATGTGTAAACAGGACAGAACCCAGTCCTTTCCAACCTTAATGATTCTATGATTATTCCCAACTCACATAAAAGCTATTTCTGCCCATGCTTTCTCACACTGCTTACTGAAGTAATGCCATTACTATTTTGTGAAACACTACAATGCTCCAATTCATGCCCTTAAGGCTTCCAACTACTTCCACTGACTAGACAGGAAACACAGACACCATAGACCTGGAGATAATTAGGTGTCACAGTATAAACTCATAACATGCAGTGCAAGACAAGGCCTGACATAAAGGACTCAAGTTTTAAGCACAGACTGAACCACAAATGCACTTTGTTTCTATTACAGGGTAATGAAAACCTTCATATGGTACAAATCATCATCATGAGAACAATCCTTAATCGTATATTTGGGTGTTTCAAGAACAGATTACATAACTACCATCTTAGCATTTGAAAAATGCATATCACTTAGTCCCATATTTACATACTAAAGCACTGCCTGAAACCTACCTAAAACCATACGAGCTAGAAAAGTGAAGCAACTCCACAGGATGAAACACGCCCAGGTACTATGTTCAGTTCCCAGTCAAATCAACTACAGCCTCTTCTTTAATTTCCGTAAGAGTTAAGTCAGAATTGTCCACAACCAATTACAAATGTATACTTCAGGCCCTGGTAAATTGAAAGTGACCTAAATATCTTACCTTAAAGCAACCTCCGTCTGCTAACATAATGTACTCAGATTAGTTTGTTGTACAGAAAAAAAAATAAAATTAAACACAAATACATATTCACTTTGGGTTGCATTTTTCAAATACAAACCTTACTACATTACCAATGATGCAGGAAGTATCCAGCACCTGACACAGCACTGAACCATTCTTTGCTGCTCTGACACACACTTCTGAACAGCTGCAAGTATATATAGGCTACAGTGAAACTGATGTTTTTAAAATTTAAGTAAACTGACACATGGTTTCATTTTTGTTAGGTTGAATTAAAATCAGTCAAGAATAATCCTTCCCCAAAGGGCATACTGGAAGTGTGTTGATATTGTAATTGAACATCTGTACTGAATGAGATAAAAATAAGTAATTTGTTTATTTCACAGTTTCAGGTCTATTAACTAAGAACTTCATTCATTCTGTCTAGAAATGAAATCACTCTTCCACCACTTTTAATACAACGTGGATTGTTAATGCAACCTCCTAACATGAGAGCAACGCATTAAGGTCAAAAGCCACAGGGAGGCAGGAGGGAAGTAATATTACTGTTTCTGAAAGTCACCTGTGGTATAATGGAAGTTCCCAGTTTAAGATGGCTCAGAAAAAAAAAAGATAACTTCAGAAAGTTTCAGATCTGGTAAATTAAAACTCCATGCTGTTTGTGAATGCCTCCCTGACCTCAGTTGGCAATCTGTATACAAAGCACTGGGAAAAGAACAAAACAAAATCTCTTAGGTTTGTTATTCTCCCTGAACCAGTCAACATCAAAATTTACAAATAGCAATTTCCTTTCAACATCCTACAAAACAAACAAAAGCTAATCTTAGCACAGCTTTTCTTCTAAAGAGAAAGGTATGATAGATCTGCAAAACAAATTCCAATCATCTCAAAAACAAGAACCAATCGGGGGGGCTGGACAAGATGACCTCCAGAGGTCTCTTTCAACCCATCTGTGATTCTGTGATCTTCCTTTTTATGTTTTTATGTCAGATTGCTTTCTTCAGGCAATCACTTTTGTGTAGATATATATTTTAAAATTAATAAAACTAAGGTGCGAATTCTGAGTTTTGATATCTACCTCTAAATCTGGCTTTCAAAGACAAAAGACAGCTGAAGATATGTTCTTTTATTGGTCATTCCCAGTGGAAAGATGCATACCGACACCAGACAATTTTTTGTCTCTCTGCATCACATAACTTGCATTCAGTGAAGAAAGAACTAGTAACAACAAAAGGTACAGAAGCTGCATATCAGCAAGGAGCTGAGGGCCACCACGAAGCCGGTAAGAAGTCCTTTGCATTGCTAGGAGTAAATGGAACACACCTCCTTTGAAAACCCATCTGTTCTTCAATGCAACAAGACTGAAAGACTAAGACCCCAACAGTGTGTCCCACAGAGTAACCAAGTGTATAATGTTAGAGTATAGAACTGTTTGTTAACCCACAGTGAATGAATTCCCTATAAAACTAATTGAAGTGTTTTATACAGAAATCACAAAGTTGCTAACAGACTAGTCACTAACCCCTGGGCATATCAGTATATTCAGTTGCTCTTTATTACAGCATTAGGAAACTGCCATACAAGTTCAAGAAAATAAATGAACTCACAGAAATCCACCATCTGAAATCTGCCGGTAATTAATTGATTATATCTTTTCTTTCTCTATACTAATACTAATGATTACCTAAGCATCTTTAAATCAAGAGGGCAAGTTGATGTCCTTGCATAATGGCCCACAAAGCAAACAATTCAAGAGACAGCTTGTTAACATCCTTGAACTTCTAACTGCCAAGAGGGAGTTTCCAAGTGTGGATTGCATATGGCCAAATGTTTGCTCTTCCGTTCCTCAAAATTACACCAGCAAGGTTGAAGTGGAACTGAAACACTTTCCAATTTTGCACTTTTACTATCCTGAAAAAAAAAAGTAGAGCCAAATTAGGGAATTATTCTTTTCATTCTATAATCAACTAATTGCAAGATATGAAAAATGCTTTCTGACAGCCAGCATGTATAGCAAAGAATCATCTGTGAAAAGGAGACTCAAAACCAAACTCCATAAAAAACAAGCTTGTTGACCAGCACAGTTACCAAGAAGAAAGGAAAAATACTTACAGGACTTTTTTCCACAGATTAACTGCAGACAAACACTGAATTTTATAAAAATTCTATTTCTAACTTTACTTTACAGCAATGTTTCACGCAAAATGAACTGTTTCCAGCACAACTTTATTCATCACTTAACCAGGTTAGTTTTGATTCAGTTTAACTGGAGTGGTAGTTGGTTAACTCCTCTCCATGCACATTTACTATTTATTACTAAGGCAGGCTTAGCTGAACTGGTTTATGTGGAAACAAGACAAACTGAACCTACCTTGAAAACTGCTTTGCAAAGTCTCTCCATCTGAAGTGTTTCATACAGACATATATAATTTGCTTTTTCCCCCTGTCATTAACAAATCTAGCTGTAATTACATCACTTGAGTTTTATGCTACTTGGAAACTTCACAGATGTAAAATCACATGCGATCTCTAGGAAAAGATAATGAAGAGAAAGTGTCTAAAGTCTACCATGCCAGCTATTCTGCCAAGGCACAGGGAAAAAAAAAAAAAAAAAAAAGAAAACTCCTGGAGCTGGCATTGCTCTCATGCCCACAGCGAGAATAGAACCAAGTTTAAAGGGCAAGAAAGAAACGCCTTTAAGTGCTGGACTTTGATCTATATCAGCTCATGACACTAAAACCTTTAATAACTCATGTTCATAACCACTGGTATGAATTTTGCTCCACTGAGCAATCATAATTTTGCTCCACTGAGCTCTCATAATCCTTATTTTATTATGGAAATCAAAATGTTACAGATCAGAAATGTCTAGATTTTTTTCCCTGGGGTTACTGTAACTGTATTATCACTAACTGAAATCTGCATATAAAAATTCAGAAGTTAAATATGTTTGCCTTAACATTGTCAAAGGTAGATCTTCCAAGCATAAAAAAAATCCAATGTTTATGAAATCTTCCAAAGACTACAGCCCACCCTTCCAGGAGCACTGCAGTCCAAACTGCTCCCAAACTTGCAGCACTCAAGGACAGCCAAGATGCTTTTCCCAATACTATTTGCCTAATAAAAAATATGGAAGGGAAAGGAAGAAAAGAGAACACTCTTGAGCTAATCTACAGTCACACAATCCTAACTGGCAAGGAATTAGGACCTTTCATACTTGTGACAAAGAAGCCCCACAGCATCATTCTGTGTTTCAAAGTCAAAGAACTCAGGTGCAGGGGATGTCTGCCTAAGATTGGGATGGAAAAACATACCCAAGCTTTACCTTAATGTTCAGCTATGTAGTCTGGGCTGTCACAACAAACACTGTATGACAAAACTCAACTGGGTCTTCAAGAAATGTACACAGGAGAAAGAAAACAGATTTCCAGAACACGACCTCTGGGGATGGCGGGAGGGTATCAGGAGTCTGAAAGAGTTTGAATGCACTGATTTTGAAAAATTGTCTAGTCTCTGTTCTTCCCTCTATTACTCAGTGAATACATTTCACAAGTTTATTTCTGCTATATATAGCCTTAAAAATACATTTGCTTCCTGAGAAACCATCATTCATTTCTGACGTAGCACTTTAGTCAGAGGAGTGAAGAAAAAAAAAAAAAGGAAAAAGGCAGGAATAGGAGGCATTGCCCTTCCCTCGTCCCCTTAAACCAGAGTTCCCCCACTTACATGAGAGTTCAAATGCTCTATGACACTTACGCCTTTTCTGTCTCTTGTTAACATATTGTTTGTAATTGATGTTATTATTTAAAAAAATTGTCTCAGATACCAGCATACTTTTTCAAAAATAAAAAAAGGTTTACTTATTCTCAATTAAAGACTTGTAGAATCAAGTTAGAGAACCAATGTTATACTACAAACTACCAGAAACAATCAGGTGATACTCATCAGCACTGGTAAGATCCTAGTTTAGATTATAGCCCTAGTCTGTGTATCCTGACTCCAAACAACAAGAAATAAACCAAACAACTAAATTTAGACACTTATATACAGTTAACACAGTACTGCATGCTGCAGTCATATCCAAAAGTGTATTAATGAATTCACTGGCATATCTGGCTATGATAAAAATTAATGCCACAGATTTTCAGTTCATCTGTTTTTCAAATCCCCAACATCACTACAGACTGCCAATCAAGAGTATGAAAATTAAGTGTTCTCTTGAAGGACTTGATTTGTCTCTGTATACACATTAGCTAGAGCATTCGTGTTTGGTTAAAAACAGGAGAAACTAATTTGTCATCTATCATCATGTTATCCAAACACTGGCTTCCAAAACTGTGATTAAAACACTTTTGTACAACCTTGGCAAGGCTAACTTACCAGCTGTACACTGAAAAGGAATGTTAAGTTACAGAGGATGAAAAGAGGAAGAAAGAACAAATGCACTATTATTCAAACAGCTTACCTCCTTCAAAAAACAGACCTATGGCTACTGCTCTATAGAATCTGTTTTTACAGGATTTTATTCATAATGCAACACAGGTCTTCTGTCCCATATTTTTAAAAAACTGCACATTTTTGATAAAAGGTATTTTTAAGGTCTCTAAAATTTATGCTCTAATCCACTAACAACAGTACAAAGTATCTACTGAGGGATTCTTATTTAAGAAGTGAGCTTCTAGTATGAGTAGCCTACATAATGAACAAATACACAATTGGGAGGGGACAAAACCCCCTTCATACTAAAGATTTTACAGTTAGCTTATTTTCAAACACATCCTTACTTCGTAAAAAATCACACACGCACAAAAAAGAGGTGACATGATCTGAATCCACATCTAGAAAAAAAAAAGCCCTAAGCAGTTACTATCCCTGGGCCTCCCATGGCACACTTCAACTGCATTCTCATCATGCCTCCCTAACTCAAAGTGTTCAGATCCAGACTGCATACGGAGGGGACACTCAGGAATGTGAAGATAAAGAAAATGGAGATGTGAAATCAACATGTGTAACTCAAAGCAGTCTCAATCCCCACAGCAAACACTCGTACACAGTGGTAAAAGAACACCTACTTTCCCTAGCACAGTTCTTCAAGACTTTTTCCACCTGGCAATTCCTTCACCTGAGGAAGCTATCACAAAATGGTGCTTGGGCTAACTCCCAAAGGAGTGCTTTCACCCTGCCCTGAAAACGTCACAGTGCTTCCTTTTTCCTTGATTTAACTTAATGCATCTTTAAAAGGTAGCATCCAACTTTTAAGGCATATTCTTAATGTAAATCAAGAATGTGCACAAGGGAAATTAATGTGGCACAACTATGCAGTAACTGCATCCCCCCAGGTAGAAAGGCCCTAAAACATTTTACTGAAAGAGAGCTTTCCTCCAGTAATGTATCAAGCAGAGTACCATCATCCCCAAGGAGGATCATTCTTCCTAAGGGCAAGAAGCTGTAAAACTGTATTTGGGGGGGGGAGGAGGGGGAGAGGGGGAGGATAAGAAAACCAACTCATCATTGTGATTATTCATTCAAGCTATCCCAAACATGTCTTTTTGTTTGTTTGTTTGTTACTTCAGAGCCCACCACATTTGGAGTTTTCAAGGACTCTTTAAACCAACTACACTCACAGAACAATTCAAGAGCCAAGGTGTGCTTGGAAATGATATAAGGAAAAGCAACCTATGACTTGCTAGAAAAAGAGTACATCACCACCAAGATGCAATTTCAGTGCTGCCTGTTTGCCCCTCTCTTATGAGAGGGATGGCAGAGCACCAAGATCTCTTCCATAACTAGATGCTGCAGCCTGGAGATGTTGTAATCCAAAGAGAACTGAGACACCACGCTGACATCCTCCAGCCTTGCTCAACGAGAAAGGATTGCTCCTGTCCTCAGTAACGCCAAACACAAAGAGATGCCAGATTATTCCCACCGCATGAGCAGGAACTCTTAAAACTCTTAAAAGGAATGCCACGGGGCTGTGGATCCCGTTCAAGCAATGAAAAGCTGTAACACTGTTTCTGACTCATAAAGGGAAAACAGCCAAGCTGGAGATATCCCGAAAGCTCGCTTACATTTATGGAAAGACGCAGGGCTTCTAAAAGGGATGCAACTCGCGAAATGCAAACTCCTCTGCCTGGCGGAGGGCAAAACGAGGTGAAAGCAGCCCCGCACGTTTCTCTAAATAAAGGTCAATAATATTTCCTCGAACTTCAGACTTCAGCAGCGGCAGTGCCCCGGCGATGCCGACAGAAGCAGCCAGGCGCTCCAAGTTTTACTTTCCCATTAACGGAGCCGCTGAGCAGAAAGCAGGGAGGGCAGCGGCGGCGGCTCCCCCGGGCTGTCAAGGTTACCCCTAAACCATCAGTTGGAAGCAGCCCAGCCGATCCCTCTGAACGTTCCCGGCCGGCTGTACGCCGCCCTCCACCCCTCGAAGCAGCTCACCGGGGGTAACCCGGGGACCCCCACCGCCGGCGTCGCGCAGGTTTTGGGGTGTGCTCCGACAGCCGACCCTGCCGGGCTCCCCCCGGGGATCCCCCAGCGCGCCGCGGCCGCCCCCCGCTCACCTTCGTGCCGGCTGCGCTCGGCTCGGCTCGGCTGGGTCCCGCCGCCCTCCTCGCCGCGGCCGGGTGCCGCGCCGCCCCGCACGGAGCTCCCGTGGCGGCGGCCGCCGCGCTGCCAGCGCCGAGGCGTGAGGGCGGCCCCACGTGCGCCGGCTGCGCCAATCCGCGCCGCCCGCCGACCGAGGGACCCCCGCCGGCCGGCAGACAGAGCCCCGCCGGCCGGCAGGCACGCGGCCTCGGCGCCGGCGCTGGCCCCGGTCCCGGCCCGGGCCGGCCTCGAACCGGCGCCTCAGCGGGCGTTGCGCGGTGGAGGTGGCGGCAGTGGGGACAGGAAGAGGCTCCGGGCCGCGGGAGGAAACCAACGCGCTGGGACCAGAGTTTGGGACCTGCCGGCGGGGAGGGGACAAAGGAGCCCCGCCGGGCAACGTCAGCGCCGAGCCCCGGCTGCAGAGTTCGGGCGGACAAAGCTGCGGAGCGGAGTTACTCGCTAAAGCAGCCTTTTTTTTTTTTTTTTAACCGAACAACTCGGTTAAGCAGCCTTTTAGCGCTCTCGTGAGTTTTGCAGGAAAACTGGAGCGCAGTACCGGCGGTGTGGGGCGGGCTCTGCCTGCCCAAACAGCGCCCAGGTGGAACAACAGCACGGAAAGAAACACCGACGGGGAACCTCCCGTCAGGAAAGAATGGAATCGACTGCCCAGGCTCACACTGGGACCCTGAGGGCAGCACCATCACGTTCTGCTGGAGCATCAGACCCCGGCCCACAGCCAGAGATCGAGGCTGCAAAGAGTTTGTCGCCACACGCCCCGCCTCTGGTGCTAGGAGGTGTCCGGCCCCATGCCACAGAGCTGGGACTGCTGCCACTCTTCACGGTGGCAGCGCTGAGAACCCAGTGCTTAAAGACAATGTGCTGCCCAGTATGAAAATAAACACTCTCGATGTATCAAAATATTTTGGTGCTGTATTTTGCAATGTTTATAACACTGCATTTTTGTGTGATTGTCAACGTGAACTGTAGTTAGTACAGTTTCCGCTTGTTACACAAAATGTACTGTTATTGGTTGCTCACTGTGTGTTTTGTCCCCATCATTTAATCCAATGGTTACCGATGCAGTGCAGTGGCAGTTGTTCACAAGGGCCTCAGTCTCTCAGACCATTACAGTCTGACGTACTGCTGCTCCTTCAGGCCTCCCTTAAAAGTGCTCTGAAATCCAGTGAATGACTCATGTTAATTTCAATAGCTTTTGCACGGGTGTCTTGGAAACAGGCCGATCAACTTTTGTTGGAGGCAACAGCCACCCACAAACGCCTTACTTCCTCCTCATCTTAAATGTAAAGATGTTCAGCCCCCAGTGGCCTTCAGTTTTTAAGAATAAATTTCCAAAAGATAGATCTGTTTTGTGTGAGTGAGCCCAGTTTCTGTTACAGCTAAATGTCTCCGGCTTCCCGGTCCTGTGGCTGGATGCACAGCCCTGAGAAGGACACGGGAACACAGGCCACAGTTCCAAGAGGCAAAGCTGCAAACAAGGTTACTTCTTCACATAGTAGCAGGGACAATCAGAACTGTTGCCATACTGAGTCCTTTCAAGAGTTCGTGACTGTCATTTTTCAGAAGGATAAACTTGGGAATGTCCAGAAATGTGATCTATTTTTATCTAGTACATAAATACCGAGTCTTTTAAACTTTGCTAATGTCTCCACAACCACATAGAACAGTAACACAAGCTGAGAAGGTCATTTAATTGCCTAATGCCAGAAACCAAGATGAAAAAAAGCTGAATATGCTTTTGGGAACAATCAAAATGACACTTGTCAACCCTTCAATGTTTTTTTTTTCCTTTATTCTTATTCTAGTGTTTTGTGGTGGTTGTTTCTTTCTTTTCTTTCCCCGTAGATTCTCTGCAGGTGATATATTTCAAATTAGAGCAGAACTCGAAATCCAGCTTTTAATTTTGCAGCTACTCTCGGGCCTTTCAGATATGTCTCAATTTTGCTCCCATCATCTTTTGATCTGATGGTGTTTACTTTTGGTAAGTTAACTGTTGCTAGTAGAAATGCTGAATTATGTTGATGGACTTCAGTTTATGTTTAAACATTTACAGTGACTTGTAGTGTTTCTGTAAAATGCCTTCTTCAATGTCCTTGGGCCTTGTCAGGCCAAGTGGCACGTGTGCTAAGCCATTGCTCCCATCCTACAACTGGATGTATTTATTACTTAGATTAACACACCAAAACTGTCCAACAGACTTCAGCCTTCGTGCCAAAGAGGTCCAGGCAAGTAAGTGCATTTACATGTACATATAACTCATACAGAGATCTGTCAATCAACCATGTAAAATACTTTGAGTGCCGAAGGGTTCTGCCAAGTGATGTCTGGTAGAATTAAATGAATAAATTTGAGAGCCTAGTGCCCACAGCAGTATGCCAGACTCTTTCACAGAGGTTACTGTCTTCACAGTAGAACAGGTCATTCATTTTTGTCTCTCCTACCCAAATCCATATTCTGCTACCTCAGTGTTAACTAACCTCACTTCTGACCTAAACATCCTTTACAGCAGTCTCTGGCCAGGAGACAGAGCTTAAACCTGGCAAGTGATACTGTCTTAAACCACTTTCAATAATTCTGCCAAAGCACGTCTCTTCAGAGCCACGAGAGTTGGCAGGGCTGAGTTCTCAGAAAAAAAGACACTGAGCTTCTTCTCCGTACATTCTGTGGTCCTGTGGGATCAGAGGGGAGGTCCAGATTCTGAAATTCCACTGAAACAGAGCTACCGAGATCTTCCTGATGGCTATCCGGGCCTAAGACACATCCAAATATCCAAAAGCAAAATTTAGCCTTTTCTCCAGGAGCAGATGAGATTGTGGAAGTGGCTTGTACATGAGATAAAAAAGATTCTTAAAATCAAATTTCGGACAATAAACTGCTTCCCAGAAATATTGCCTCCAAGTGCAGGCCTGGAAAGCAGGAAATCTATTACAGCTGTGCAGCTGTACCACTGGAGTACCTAGGACTGTCGCTGATAACCAGCTTGATAAAAGAGTAATGAGCAGGATGTCTGTAGTCCATCACAGGACTAACAAAAGACCATGCAGACACCTGAGTACTATATGGGAAGCTGAGCAGGCTGGAAATGTTCAAACATAACATTTAAAGATAGATAGCATAAACTGAATGAACGAGGCTGCTAACAACAAGTGCTGGTGTTCATGTACATAGCTAAAGTCATTAGCCAATTTAAATGCTTGACAGGTGCAAGATAGTGATAACAACTCATAAGAAAGTGCATGGTACAATGAACTATGTGGAGGGGGAAGCTGTGTCTCAGACATTTGGATTTCTCAGGCTGCAGCACAGTTAAAGCCAGAATTGTTTTCTGCAATCACTTGCATGCAGTGCTATTCTTGCTAATTGCCAGAGCCCTCAGATCAGAAAACCCCGCATAGCAAATCCAAGCTTGTGTTTACAAGTAACGAAGTGAGTCAGGGGATGTGGTAGGTGGCAGGGTCAGGCTCTAGAGCCAGTGGTGTTGCTGTTACCTTGTGGGCAAGCAGCCAGCCAGAAGAGTCACAGGTGGTGGCTGTGGAGGGCTGGCAGCAGTAGGGGTAGACCCTCACTCAGAGTAGATAAAGGCAGGAACTAGTCATCTGAAATGAGCAGTGTGTATCCTACAAAAATATAGCATATCCCCAGCATGTTGTTTGAAGGACTGTAACTCTGGTTTTCTTTTTGCTTCAGAATGAAATGAGCAGTATTGCTTTTTCTGATGATGAAAGAATGCATGCATAAGTAAGAAAATAAATTGGCAGGATTCCACCGGTATTTCTCAAAATATACAAATAAGTTTTTAACATAAAAATATAGTTTCTGTCATCCGTGCTGAATGATATTTTCTTCTGGAAGTGCTCAGTATTAATAAATATTGATTAACAAAAAGAAATTGCGTACAACCTGCTACACAGAATTGATAGGAATTATTAGTGTTCGCAGAAAAAGCAGTTTTTTCACTGGTATGTTCTGATGTTTATTAATTTCCTGTTTAGATTAAAAGTAATATCCCTAGCTGCAAACCCAGATCTCCCCTAAGTCTTATCTCCAATTGAAAATTACAGTGTTTAATTAAGAATAAACACAGTCCAAAAGAAATAGCCCTTGATTCAAATCTAATTAAGATAACATCAAGGTGTATATATATAGGTGTGTGTGTGTATGCGTAAAATCAGAATCTCAAAATACTAGGATACATTAGAACTGCTCAGCTTCCTCAAATAAATGCACGAAAGTTTATTGTCACAGGATGTGCAGGGACCAGTTTAAAGATACCTACCTAAAAATGAGACAAAGAAGAATTGTCTTTCAATACCAGTGATATTTCAGAAAGCTTTGGAACATGCAGCAAGAAGCACAAGTGAACCTCAGAGGTCTTGGAAGAGTTTGTGACATTTTCCTAAAGTTCTCATGATGTCCTTTTCAAGTCATGCTGTGGGTTAGACACCAGTAGGAGGTTTAAAAGGTTTTGCTTAGTGCTTGCTTATGAGACTATGAAGACTGTAACATTTTATTAGACCTGATTGGCTTATACGCTAATTGCAGGTTTCTCTTGAACAGTAGATAAGATCTATGTGTAATGCTTACTAGGGGAGTTCACAGGTGTGATGTCACCTGCTGCCTGGCCTGATGATGGACATGACTTGACCACAGAAATTGTAGTGTGATTTGTAATACGGTATGGGGAATGCAACAGCAAATTATCTATCATTTGTGTGGCATGCCTTTCCGTTTATCATCACTAAATGCTTAGTATCATAGCCATGTGGAGACTAGTGCTAAAGGTCATTGGGCTGAGTATGAAATGTGAGGAGTTCAGAACTGTTAGAAATGTGTTTTCATAACAGTTAATTTTAAAACAATGAGAGCTGTGGATTTTATTTTTTATTTTTTTTTTCTAGCTTTGGAGTTGAGAGTACCCAGCAATCTGTACCTATAAATTATTTGAAAAATAAATTTTACGATAAAGTGGAGAAAAAGCAGACAGAATTGGATGCTTCTATGATGCTTCTACAAAGCACTTGGAGAATATTTTATTAGCTCTGTAGTATTCCTCCCTAAATCACTTCCTAGATTACCTTCTTGTTCAATTCAACTTGAATCTGTGAATGGAAAAATATTCCAACTGATTTTGAAAATTTTTGTTTTTGCAGAAAACCTTTCATTTTTCATTTTTTATCATGGCAATGATTATGGGCCTTTTTTTTTTTTTTTGAGCATAAACCAATATGTGATTTTATATTTAAAACATAAAACATATAAGAAATGTATTTTCCTCAAGTTAAAGATCATATTTGAAACATCTTGATAATAACAAGATTTAAAGATAGTATAGACAGATAACTGAAGGTATACTACATGCTGGAGGATGCATAGAAAATAGAACAGCGATCAAACTGTCTTGCCTTTCAGCTGACCGTGCAGGACAGATGAATGTTGTTTGTGTGTGCAAGTGCCTGGGCCCATAACTGAGTACAGGTATGCACATACAAATACAAGCACATGCCCTGAGTTCCTGCCCCCCCCTCCTTTTTTTTTTTGCCTTCCTTTTTCCACCGTTTACCATCTGTCTGCTTTTTCTGAGAGCACATCAAATTAAAAATAATTTCAAAGTTCTCTGTATGGTAAACTTAATATTTGAAGTAAATTGTGTTAAATTC